GATCACCACCACCACCATTACAAAAGCAACAACAACAGCAGCAGCAACAACAATAATAGCAGCAGCAGCAGCGGCAACAACAACACCAACATCATCTACAACAACAACAACACATTAGTACCACCAACATCATCTCGCAGTTTTTTTCTACTAACAGATACACGTTAGCCAAGGGGGAGTATTCTAAGGTCACTGGCGCTAGCCCACCTATAATATTCTCCTCCTCATCTTCCACGACTAGAAGACCGGACGGATCAGCGGAGAAGACACAAGAGAGATAATCCATCTCCATGTTCCACTGGTTCTCCGCCAGAAGGGCGTGCAGTTTAGGAAGGTCGTCAGCTCTCATTGCGCGGATGTTGAAATCAATGGACTTCTTGGCGTTCCCACCGCTGTATCTAGGAGGAAAAAGACAAGACGGAAGGAAAAAAATAAGTTTAACTTTCTTTTTTTCTCGCTGGGCAGGAGGCGGGTGGAGGGGGCAAGGGGTGTATGTGAAAACCGTGGTTTAGATAAATGCAAATTTTGATTATTGTGTTGAGAAAAAAACAACACCAATCGCGATAGTTCTGGCAACAGCAATAACAACAAAAATAACAGCAACAGCGGTAGTAACAATACTATGAAACAACATCAGCAACAACAACAGCAATAGTAACAACTACAGCAACAACAACAGTACACATAAAAACAGCAACGACAACCTCGATGATGGCGACGACTGTGACAGTTGAAAGGGCATTAAACATGTACAGTATTATATAATGAATAAAAACAAACAACTTTCAAATTTTCTTTTAGTAGATCTAAAGAGAAGCACATTGACACAGTAATGGTCAGTTAGAGCGGGGAAAATAAGACATACAGAAAGAAACAAAATGGGGGTGGGGGGAGTCGTTGCTCCTTCCCCCTGCCACCTACCTCCCACAAAAAAAGAAAAAAGTAACACCCAATTGAACATAGAAGTATTATGAAAAATGGTATCAACAAAGAGTGACGAAGTCCTTTACCTTCTGACAAAATCTGGGTTAGGCCTACTACATAGGCAGACAGCTCCTGACAGAATCTGTCTGCCGTCTCTCCGAGGTCTCCATGATGACGTATGTCCAGTGCATGGAGAAGCTCGACTCCCACTCAACGAGGCTGCTCGCGATAACAGTCTAAACCTTGAGTGCATTACTGTCCGTTGTCTAGAATGGAAAAAAAAATCCACCTCGCTGTCGAACAACATCTCCTTACCTCGATATCAGGAAACAAAGATAATAACAATACACAAATCTTAAGTCTAAATTTTAAAGGGGGAGGGGGGGGGCTACATCTGAAGGCTATCTCGCTTATTAGTGGACCGAATTTTACCACATTTCTCACATATAACAAGCATAGTAAGGAGTCTTAAAATCCGCAGTCAAATTTGAGAAAAAAGTTTCATTTCCAGGGATACGGCGGCCATATTGGATTTTGTTGACATGTCTTACGTAATGAATACCGCACTTATCGGTAATGGAAATTGGTTGGGGTTTTTTTGCATGCGTGTTCTCAAACATTAGATCTAATAATTTGTCTGTTGTTGTTTTTTCCTAAACGAATTTTAAAAAGTTTAATGAATTTTTTCCTGAGGTAGCATTCAAGTTTGTAACAAATCCGTGAAAATCCACACTCCAGACATCACAAACAAAAATCTATTCCATATATCGAAAATTCAATTTATTTTTGTATTACATCTTCGCTTCATTCTGTGAAAATTTCATGAAGATTGGATGACAAATGGTGGAGTTATTCAAAAAGGTATAAAGAAAAGTAGCGTTTTGAGAAAACGGCCGATAAAGAAAAATAAAATACTGACTTTATGAGGAAATGGCGGTGACAAACGTGCCCGGTATGGGAAAAAATACGGTTTTGGGGGGTTCCTATGCGATGAAATAGTTGTAAGAGAGGCTGAGAAAGCTACTAATGCCTACGACTGAAATTCTATAATTTTGAGCCGAATTTTTACTTTAGGGGTGTAGCCGCCCCCCCCTCTAAAAATAACAACTACCCCCCCCCCCCTCCTTCAAACAAGCGAACAAAAAACAGTTTCCATAAGTCTAACAATGAAGGAAAACCTCCCTAAGCTAATGACCAAAACAAAATCCCACTAAATCTAGGTAACAAAGATCAAGGTCTCGGTGCGCCTAAATTGACCAAAAAAAAACGGCACACAAAACCCTCTTAAGTTTGAGTCAAAAGTAACAAGTAAAATCCCCTCTAAGAAAATAACAACAAACTACATCTCCCTATGTCAATTATAACAAACAACAGCTCAATAAGTCAGAAACAAAAACAAAAGAAAACAAAACAAACACAAAATCTCTCTCATTCAATAACAACAAACAAAATCTCACCTAGTCAATAACAATAAACCTCTCTTAGAAAATAACCACAAATAACAGCTCAATAAGTCAGAAACAAAAGACAGAAAAAACCCCAACAAAATCCCTTTAGACAATAATATTAACAAACAAAATCCCCCTTAATCAATAACAACGAACAAAATCCCAAATGGCCAATAAACAACAAAGCACAATTTCACTAAGATAACCACAAACAAAATGAAAAAAGTCTAGATCAAACGCGACGATTGAAACCTCTCTGAATCAAAAAGAAACAAATAAAATCACCACAGTCCAGTTATTGACTGAGACACTTTGAAGTAAAAAATGAAAAGAAAGACTGATGCTATTAACGTTTTAAATGACACAATACATAATATCATTCAGGAGGTCGACTGCTTCGATCATGCTTGTTCGAGCTGTCAACCAGAACTGAGGAGGGTTGAAGTATCTCAGCTGACAGATAGAGGTCTGTCTTCTTTTTTTTTGTAAGTGTTTTACGGCGCTCGCAACTACATAAGGTCATATGAGCGCGCGGGACACATTAAACCTTTTCAGTTCGTAGGAATTTTTATAATTTTTGACCGAGTGGCGTCCGAAGCCTACTCTTGTCGATTTTGGACTCTTTAACGTGCGCAACTTGCACATGTCCACCCCCCCCCCCCCCGAGATTTTTCGCCCTTGTCCGAGAAGGCAGTTCTGTCTTCAGTTCACAGGAATCGAACTCGGGTCTTTTGCTTGCGACAGGCATAACCATTGCAACACAGACACCGGTACTTAACTGTTACGATGACCAATGCATTCTATTAAATTGTTCAACACAAACTCACCAGCCCTGAAATAAAACAGTGCTTGGGAAGGACGGTGAATTAAAAAATAAAAGCGTGGCGGCAATGCTACGACCCATCTTTATTTCCCCTTTCCGAGCACAGTTCTTATATTTCATTCTTTAAATTTTGATATTCCTCCACAACATAGTGAGAAATAATTCATCAAATTATTTTAAAAAGTATGCACCTTCTCTGAATGGTTGAGTTGAGGAGGAAGAAGAGGATTAACAAAAAATATAAGCAGTAGACAAGTGACACTCTTTTTTCAATACTATTTATCTCGTAATATGTGTGTTCTTCATATTATCCTTACTGTGTGGATTTTTGTTTGCCCCTTTGTGGACTGAGTGGGTGGTTGGCGGGTGCTCTGGAGTGGTTTGCTTCTTCTTTCCTATCAAACATCTTTCATCCTGATCTCTCCTCATTTTTTATGTTTGTTATTCTCTTGTAACACCTCAAATCTTCGGTACTTATATATGACCTTATTGTGTTGCAAGTGCCGTAAAAATCTAACTAAAACTAAAACTTTGTGGACTGCGTGATACAACCTTGATTAGCGCTCTTCTGTGCCGTCAGGTGAAGCAGATGTTGATGTAGATGTTTCCAACAAAAGAATTAACAATTTATTTACTACAGGTAAGTCATGTGCAAAAATTCAAAAGAGGTTGTTTGCTTATAGCGAATTTATGAGCTGCAGATAGAAAAGGAAAAGCGGGACAAATTCTTGCTCTCTTCAAAAACAAAACAACAGCTTGCTCACTTTCCTTTTGACAACAGCTAAAACAGGATAAAGACAAATCTCTTTGTTTAACCTTCTCAAATTTTTGCATGCGGGTCTTTTTTGTTTTGTTATTTGGTAAGTGTTTTACGGTGTTTGCAACTGCATACAGTCATATGATGGAGCGGGACACATTAAACTTTTTCAGTTGGTAGGAAATTTTGAATTTTGCCCGGGTGGTGGCTGAAACCTACTCTTATCGATTTTGAACCACCAAGGGATCTTTAACGTGCGCAACATGCTCACCGGACCTCCGTGATTTTTGGCCGTTGTCCGAGAAGGCTATGCCGTGTTAGATGTTACCTACCTTAAGATCAGGGATGTGACTGAAAGACAGCAGTAAGACGGAGCCAAGGATTAGCAGTAGAAAGGCTGCAGAAATAGTCTAAAGCCCAGAGGAAGGAGCAAAGGAGGCTTAGCACCCAGTTACACGTAACGATGAATTGTACAAAAACTGGGCGACAAATCGTTAGGTATAACCACAAAATTGTACAAAATTTGGACGATTGGAAGATGGCTTGAAGACTGAGTCGAGAAATCAAGCGCTGCTTGATATTTTTCGTGTGATCACGTTCAGATTTAGGGGGGGGGGGGGGGTAGGGTAAAATCCCTTTTAAATTTGCCGCCGCGCAGGGTTAAGCTTAGGGTGCAAAATTCTAGAAATAGTTATCGTATCTTAAAACTCATTTCATATTCGAAATCAGCGTCTAAAAATTAGCAGAGTAGCTCGCAAGAAACCTGATTTGATGCGAAATTATGTAAATTTTAGTAATTTTATCATTTATTGGTCGTCATTAGTAAAGTGCATCAAGGTCATTCGGTGCGTTGTACATCTGCAGTCAAGTCAAAGCTTCTCTTTCTCCACACAACACGGTACAGTATGGCCATACCAACATTTTCTAAAGACACTTTTCTGCTGTATCAAAATGTATAGGAGAGGGGGTGGGGCTCTCGTGATCTTGAGGTACAGTGTTCGCCTTTCATTCATTAAGTTCCGACTTCGAAACCTTCAGATAAAGTGCAGGCAAATCGCTGTCGTCTCAAAGAGACATGCTTGCTTTATGATGAGGAATCTCCTCGGCCGAAAGAAAACTGGGCGATGGAATGGAACGTGTAAGCAGACAATACAGTTCGAAAAAACGGGCTTTTTGGCATACGATGAACCTGATACATTTTATCGTTGTGTGTAAGCGGGTCAAAACATAATAGGGGATTTACAGCATACACATAAAACATCCGAAAGTTGACACATTTTCCTCAACAACACACTTTAACGTTCGCCTAGAGATGAAATCAACAAGCTTGAACTGAAATGTGGGGGCAGGGTGGTATTGCTGTCTCAAAATGAGCAACTTGAAGACAAGGTTACTTAAGTCATTATTTTAGGGATCCCGTGTATGTATCCAAAGAGCGATTTTACTATAGGATCCAAAGAGACAAACTATTTAAAAAAATTATTGGATCAAGATTTTTTGACAAAATATTTTTGTTTGGTCGCTGGCCTGTAGAAGTGCTTTGCAAAGTTTCGTGG